CTTCCCGCCCACGTGCCACAGCCCACAGGTGGCTGAGCCGAGACAGCGGATCCCTTGACCCTCAAAGCAGACAGGTGGGGCCCCGTGCGGCCCGAGTCCCCAGCCCAAGCCCTAAACAGCATCACCTGTTTGCTGCCCTGGACCACGCAGGACTGCTTTTCACATGGGCCGTGATGTTAGGGAGGAAAAAAAGTTGGAAAGAACCCTCAAAAGTGAGTTACTGTTTAAAAAAAAAACTTACCCTTGGGCTATAGAATGCCCATCCCCCAACTGCCCCTGGCTCCAAGCGGCTCTGGGCTTTGTGACCGCCCGGTGTAATCTCTTGGTAACCGAAAGAAATCACACCAAGCAAGATCTCCGTCTTCGATTCTGTTTCCTTCTCTCTCATTAACTGCTTCTTCCAGTTCCTCTTGAAGGATTTCTGGGTTTCTAAGCGGTTGGTCACAGATGGCTAATTATTTCATCACCATCTATAAACATCCTTTCTTTTATCCAAGTGTACATCCTTGGATACATACTGGAGATATACACACACACACACACACACACACACACACATATATATGATATACACTGGTATATATACTGTAAATAATCAGTTCTTGTCCTGCAACTTCCAAAACCCTACACAGCTCAGCTATTACCATTATGAACCTATGTATGGCTCTCCCTTTTATTTCAATATTTATCAAGCATTTAACATCTACCATGAGATATAATATTTTTAAAAACAGTTCATACCCTGAAGTATCCAATGATTGTCCGTGATATCATACAGAAGTTCAAACGTGCAGTGTAATAATCCCCCATTAGCATATTCAGCAAAGACTTCTGAGTGCCTGCAATGCACTAGGCTCATGCCAGGTGCTGGGGCTGCCAAGGCAAATCGCTACAACCCAGGCGGTCAAGGATCCCACCATCCTGTGAAGGTGACAGACAAGAGCACGAGGCAGGAGTGGGTGCGTTAGGGGCACAACGCCAGGCCTGCCCTGACATGAGGACCCGCTCTGCCCAGAACACCAGCTGTCCCAGGGACGTGGACTCCCTAACGAGGTACCTGATGTGATCACTGCAAAATTGTTCTCCCCTGCATTTTGCAAACATTATTCTCATCTTCGTAACAATATGAGAAAGAAATAGCAGGTTCCTTCTGAAATATCTGTCTCACCCTATAGGGTCAGGTTTGCAAGGTCAGCCCTATGGAGTCTGTATATTTCCTTCTGAGCAGCGGGCTTGCAGTGGGGGACACTGTCAGTGAAATTACATGACTTGCAAAATGCGGGCAGGAGTGAGCGATGCTGGTTCCCAGCCAGTGTTATTCGTGTTTCCTTTTTCCCCACCGCACGAATGGAACATTTATTTCTAGAACATTTGATAGATGTGTTCATGCTATTCTTGAAATTGCCTTTATCCACTAGGAAAGTCCTAAAATCTGTCCCCAAAGTCATAGTAAATTGCTGTCATCTTAGCCTCAGGAAATGTGTCACTTTCTCTCCAATCTTTCTCGTGGCATCTCTTCCCACCTGTCAGTCTCAACTCTTGGCTGGCACATCTGGAGGGGCTGCTGCCCTCCCTGGGTGGTCTGCAGCCCCCTACACTCCGGTACTACCCATGGGAGACCCAGAAGCAACATTATGTCAGACCACATTTGGGGCCACCTCTCCAACTTATCCCAAATAATCGTACAAAAAATGTTTTCAAGAAAAGGAAGATATTTTTCGCTATTGTTTTTGTGGCTTGGACATCAACTCTAGGAACACACAGTAATCTGCCCTCCTCCTTTCCTGGGCTCTGAGCAGGCAGCAGAATCTAAGCGCTGAGGGTGAGGGGCCAGAGCAGGAACAGGGAGCCAGTCCCCCTGCAGCCATCTGGGGAGCAGCAAACTGGGAGTCAGGAGACCCGGGTGCAACCCCTGAGTGTGCGGTGACTAATAACCTACGTGACTTGGGGTGGGGTGGGGAAGAGGGGGTGCTGGTTTCTCTGGACACGCGAGGCACACTGATCTTGAAGATCCATGCCATTCTGAGTCTATGATGCTAACTAAGGTCAAACTATTGCTCTGTGCAGAGGGTGGCTGGGGTGGCTGACACTTGGTACTTGAGGACCAAGAAGCAATGAGGTGCCCTTCCTCTGGCAGATGCGCACTGCAGACTGGCACTTGGGGACCATGCCTTGCTTTGTCAGATGATGCAATGATAGCCCCTCGGTCCTCATCCTCCTGTGCAGAACCTACCTGCAGGGGTCCGAGGGCAAGCTGGCATTCCACGTGTCTCTGAAATTCAGGGTCAAGGGGGTTTCTCCAGCCTCTGGAATTACGGTTCCATGCCAACCCATGGTCAGGATGCTGAAACAGAAACTTCTTTCCCCTCTCAAGTCTTGAGAGAAGGGACATGGTCCCATATTCTATCTTTCAACCTGAGAGTACAAGCAGAAACCATTTTCTGCTCAGACACATCCCACATACTGCCTGGTTGTTGGTCCTGCTATATTCTCAGCTTTGCTAAAGTCATTTCTACATGAGCAGTGTGATCTAGGCCAGTTCTTTCAGACTTTAATGTGCACTCAAGTCAGCCGGGGATCTTAATTAAAAAAAACAACTTATTCCAATTTGGTCGGTCTGGGATGAGACCTGAGAGCCTGCATTTCTAACAGGCTCCCTTTGACGTCGGTGAAGCTAGTCCAGAAACCAGACTCTGAACAGCAAAGATGCAGAGAGAAGGACTGAGGGCCGAGAGTCACACAGCTCCTGTTCGTAGGGTATTTCAGAAATCACCTGAGCCTCAATTTTCCATCCTTTGGAGATAACACTGCCCAAGTGAGTTAACTTACAAAGTGTGCAAAAGTAACAGCAGTGTGAAAGTTCTCCACTCTATCCAGTAGCACTCGATCGTCTAACTCTAAGATTATGTGGGAGCCCTAAGCAGAAAGCGTCAAAACTACCTACCTCGGGCAACAGCGAATACTCTGATTCATCAGCATGGGGTGGCCGTAGGGCATGGCAGGGGTTGTCCTAACAAGACGTCAGGTGATCTGACGAGATCTGTCGATACTCAGACCCTGCTTCGAGAACCTGCCCCAATAGTAAGCTCTCTACTCTCTGCGTGGGCAGAAATGAAAGACAAGTACAGCAGAGGGTTTCTTGTAGCAGATCACAGCTCTGGGCCTCTTACCTCCCCACAGAGTGGTACTTTTCAAACCAACGTGCACAGAAATCACCTGGGGGACCTCTGTTCAATTACAGACTCTGATTCCACCGGTCTGGGTGGAACCTGAGATTCTGCATTTCTAACAGGGTCTAAGATGAGGCTGATGCTGCCGGTCCGGGGACCAGACTTTGAGTAGCAACAACCCACATGAGAGGCTCTCAGCCCAAACTGCACGTCAGGGCCGTCTTTTAAATACCATGGGCTTTAGACATTCTAATGTTAAAAACTGGCCTAGGGTAAGGGTCAGGCATTCCTCTAAGCACCCAGGTGATTCTAATGTGCAGGTAGCCTTGAGGAATCCCCCACCCTGCCCCCCAGACACACACACACACTCCCTGCCGCAGAGAGAAGCCAGGGCACCGCTGAAGAACTGGACGGGCGGTGGGCTCGATTCCGCCATCCGGTCCAGTCCGGTCCGGTCCAATCCGAGGCGGGTGAAGGGGGCCTTAGAGCAGTGCGTTGCTGGGGAAATAAGACAGACTGGCCCGTCGGCCTCTGAACGCTGATGGGTGTCTGTGGTGTGGCTTCTGTGCGGAAAGGAAGCCGAGGTTTCTCGGGGAGGGGAGGGGGAGGGAGGGGAGGGGGGAGGGAGGGGAGGGGGGAGGGAGGGGGAGGGGGGAGGGAGGGGGAGGGGGGAGGGAGGGGGAGGGGGGAGGGAGGGGGAGGGGGGAGGGAGGGGGCGGCGTCGTCCGGC